CAGCATTTCCCCCAACGCCCGACCGTTCACTACGTCGCCACTATACGACTGTTATAGTTCACATAATTGTCTACATCGATGAATGTATCTTTATCCAGTACCATATCAAGAGCTGGATATTAATTGGTTTAGAGATAGACCATTTTTTGGTATCGTGTTTGAGTTGAGAATTGTGCATAGGATGACTGTCAGTATCATAAGCGCAAACGAGACTATCATAGATCTATAAGAGTTGAGACTCAACAATATGCAATCTGATCATTGATCAATTAGGCACTGTGTACTCCTTCTAATTCGTGACCTAACACATCATGTCAACGTATAAGCTCGTTGTGACACTAAGTTGCCAAAGAAGATCCATCGGACTACTCGATAAAACTTACCCAAATAGGGATATGTGCTTTTGATTAACAAATAATATTGCTCCGTTAGCCAGCCTCCGCGTAATCGATCAACACATTTCTCAGGTCTCGGGCGTCGGATTACGTGTATTTATGTAATAAGTCTCAGTTGCTGACGCTGCGTGTGGAAGCACGCTAGAAGCTGCTCATAAATCATATTAACTAGAATCGAGTATTTATCTATCACGGGCGCCTACCGACCTCTATCTAGACACCGTTAAATACATGACATCATGTGTGCTCACATCAGCTCCAAAGACTGCATCTCGTCTACACTGATGATGATGTAACTCCGTAGTTATAGCATAATGTAACAACTACTTATCTCACCACGTTCGCTAAGGTAATATTATGGCCCGCCAAGGACGCCCCTTCCCGTATTTTTAATCATTACACACTCCTCATGCCTACTCCGATGCGCAACACCAGAGAACCTACAACAAACGAGTAACGATCAATTCGCTATCACAAATGATATCACATACGAGTCCCACCAGCAACAAACAAAGACATAACAAGACATCAACAGCAATAAACAACAACAAACAAAACAAACATAACAACAGGAACAACAATAACAACACACAACAATAAACAACAACAAAAACAAACATAACCAACACACAAACAAGACAATAACAACAACAAACATATATTAAAAAACAAAATTAACAACACATACAACCAAAAAACAGATTGAAACCAAACCCCAAGAAGAGCAGTAAGACATGCAATAGCTGCTATAAACGATCTCATAACAAATATCAAAACAGCCTATACAGCTCTTCAGTCCGCCCAAACCCAAAAAAAATACCTTAACAGGAGCCTTATCTTTTACGCACCCCGAGGGCGCAACATCGGTCCAAGAATTATCTCTCTAACACTAGACTAATTGAACCGACCTAAATCCTACGAACACATGGACCAGAGAGCTTACGACTCACCTGTAATAAACACTCCAAATCTAGACAAATCTCACTTAGGCAAGTAAGCACAGAGTGCCGCCCAACACACCACCCAGCCAAGAATTAAGCGTTCAATGTGAACCACACATGAGTATTCGAGAAAGCTCAACATAAGGCCTGACTCACGCACAATAAAATTTGAAATCAGACCACATAATACTCATGTAATTTACTATTATATGAAATGCGCGGTCCAAGAAATCCTGTATTTCTCAAGCACGGCAAATTATTCGGGGTCTGGAAAGCCTCGTATTTACATAAAATACCGGATCTGTTTAGATACCGTATTTCTTGGGCCTCGTATTTTGCCTCGTGTGAACGCTAAATACCGGATTTCTTGCTACGTGTAAACGCTGCTAATATCGTGTATACGCTACGTATCGTCTGTCATTCGCATATAATCAAGAGTACATAATAGGAGATTATAATTTCCTATAATAATAAGAGGATATAATCTCCTATTATGTACTCTTGATATAATCTAATAGTTGATACCGACGCGTCTGTAACGACATTACCGATAGCTAGCTTCTAATAATTTCGTCACGCGCCATAGCTTACTGACAGTGATTCCAGCATCGAAAGGATTTATTAAGATCGCAGCGCGCCTCTCCCCACGAATTCTCATCTCTGAAGCACGTACCGGACTCTGGACGCAGTTTCGATTATATAGCCACAATTGCCCGTGCGTGTGAATGCGTGTATATGCAGGAACGTATATGGTGGCTATGTCGAATGAGAGCGATTCTTAGTCGCAGGGAGCAAGCGGTCCGCCGGTCAACCCTATCTTATAGCGATTGTTAAGAATCAGATCCGGGCATAGTTCGATTGCCACCGGTTGCCGTCCCGCTGTTTACCAAAATTTGCCGATACGACGCGCTGGCGCAATCACGCAGATCAAACTAATCGCTTTCCTGTGTGTATTCGGCGGAATGTCGTCCGTTGCCGCGTCCAGTCGCACTACGGAAGAGTCAATAAACTTGACGTGTGTGTAGCCCACAGATCAGCGAGGCAACAGTAAACCGATTGTCCAAATGAGTCAACTCATCATCATCATTACCTAGCGGGCCGTGAAATGTAAACGCGCTCACGCAGGCGTATATATAATATTTTACTGCTATTATTTGATAACCATTTTTTGTTATTAAATTTGCAGTAATGTGTAAAAGAAGTACATATCAAGTGAGCGGTGAATACTATATTCGCCCTATTGCTTAGTACTATTATCAGGGGTATCTCCCCCCGCTATTATTGTTCCCTTTGATTTACTCATCGCCGGTTCACCATCCTATCTAGTATTTGCGCTCGTCTGGTTGCTGTTGGTCACAGACGATGTGTGATTACTTTCTCATCGTTACCGCGCTTCCCTTGATACCTCTTGCTCATCCACACCGAGAACTACAACAAACATAACAACATGAACAACAATAACAACAACAAACATAACAACATCAACAGCAATAACAACAACAACAACAAACATAACAACAGGAACAACAATAACAACAACAACAATAACAACAACAACAAACATAACAACAATAACAATCAACAACAAACCGGTTGGAGCTGGGGTGCGAAGATGGATCGGAGGCGCTGCGGCATAACAACAGACAACAATAACACAACAACAACAACAACAACAAACAAGGCGACAGACGATGGCATGAAACAGCAAACAGCAGCCAGTGACAACCGATGCCGACACACAGCGAAGAAAACACATTCAACAGTAACATCACCACCAGCCCGATCATCATCATCATCATCGATCATCATCATCATCTGAAACAACAACAAGCAACAACAAAAAAAGAACCACCACCAACAAAAACAGAAAAGCTCGTAGTGAAATTGAGGGCATATACTCAATAATGCGCCCCTCGTCCACTCTTATTCCCGAGTGTATATAAACTTATTACTGCGTTTCAAATAGGGTTATAAAATGAGAATCAGGAAAATTATTTACGATAAATCGCAGAGTCAACAGCAATAACAACGAAACAGCAGCAGAAGCAACACAACAGCCAACAGGAAACCACCACAACATAAACCGCAGACAAAGACAAAACAATACAACACAATTGATGGCGTCACCAGATACTCACAATGTAAACATACCAGCAAACACCGTGTTGTATACCATCCGATATTTATTATGTCTTTTGTGAATGTAATGGTGCGATCGCCCTGCTTGCCTCGGCTGCCATACTTACGAACATGGGCTCCACGCGTGGTATGCCTGAGAGAAATTAAAGTAACAACTATAGCGACCCCTCTGGGAATTTGCAACCCAACCATTAGCTTTTTTAACAGCGTTCTGGAATAATACAGAGCCCGAGTAGCACGTCAGCAATCCTGGTAGATTTTAGGTTGCACATAAATATCCATTTGTGAACTTTCCGCTGCGGCGGGTTATTGTGAATCTAGCATGGCTTCATATTCCCGCCATCATTTTGTAGCAGCCGACAACTAAATGCCTGAGTGAATCTTTCAGCTGCGGTAACATTGATTAATCGATAGGTCTCACATGCACCTCTAGCAGCAGTTTTTATGTTTTGCTCTGGTATTAGTGTCTTTGTGTCGTATCTGGCACTAGTAAGATAATTCTGCTACATACAAAAACTGCCAATAGCGCAAAGTTTATCTTCGCGATAATATCTAATAGTTGGTAACGACGCGTCTGTAAACGACATTACGCTACTACTTCTCATAATTTTGTCACCGCGTCATAGTTACTGCAGTGAATTCCAGCATTCGAAATGATTTATTAAGATCGCAGCAGCGCTCCTCTCCCGCGACGAATTCTCATCTCCGAAGCACGTAACCGAGGAAATGTGGACGCAGTTTCGCATTATAAATATAGCGCCACAATTGCGCCTGTACCTCTTACAATACTCTGGGCATAAGTAGATATTCGCTACTTTCAAAAACTGCTAATGGGCAAAGCTTGATGTTAGTTGTCATAACAAATCGACACGGCGGCCCGCCATATTTCGTTATATTGTTCACACGTGATATAGCAAATACGATCAATATTGTTATAACGCTGATATTAATCTTATTCGACATTAGCTTTATAAAGAACTTTCGCTTTATTAGCTTCAGTTATCACTGATTTACATACGATATCGGTATTGCTATAGGAATTATTTTTATTACAGGCCCAACCGTGGGGCTTTGAATGAGATGGCGTGCGAATCCACAGACAGATTACTTCCGAATGTAGGTCTGGTTCTAATAACGGCACGTATGCGGGAAAACCCCACGTAAGCTATTATTATAGTAGTATTATTGTATCATGATTAATAATTTAGTAGTAATTATTATATATAATATTATTATCTATTATTATATTGATCATCATCATTGGTATAGTATAGTAGTATTTTTATAGTAGTAGTAGTAGTAGTGAGTAGTAGTAGTAGTAATATTAGTAGTAGTAGTATATATAGTAGTAGTAGAGTAGTAGTAGTAGTAGTAGTAGTAGTAGTAGTAGTAGTAGTAGTAGTAGTAGTAGTAGTAGTAGTATTAGTAGTAGTAGTAGTAGTAGTAGTAGTAGTAGTAGTAGTAGTAGTAGTAGTAGTAGTAGTAGTAGTAGTAGTAGTAGTAATAGTCTGCGTGCTGTTTACAGTTTGCTCCTGACGAGATGGAACTCCGAGTCAAACTACTTGGATAATTCATGTCGTATGACCCTCAACCAAGAAGTCTGCGGTCAGCCAACGTGAGTGCATTCTACTCCGTATCTCGACATCTCTGTCAACAACTATACGCGTCGTCCGTCGCTTCGGAATCCATTCGTTTAGTTTCAACTGCTGCAATTTAAGCGTGCTTGTGTGCGTGCATGCACACACACACGCGCTCACGCACGCACACGCACACACGCGCGCGCACGCGCGCGCACGCACGCACACACACACACACACACACACACACACACACACACATACACACACTCATGCATGCTCGGTGGAAATTCAGCCATTATAAAGAAAGGCGAGCACGCGCATACGAGTTTTGCACGCGGGCACGCGTTCGTGAATGTTTGTGCACGCCTATGTGTGTGGCGTAGGCCGAAGCGAAATATTCTATTAAATAGACGGGCCTGCATGTATGCCTTTCAACAGTACATCGGCCATTTTCAGAACTACTCTCCGAATTCCATTCCCGTGGCGCAAAGGCTGCTACCGGAATCGTCAATGGAAATGCGTAGTTTGTCAGATTTAATAGCCATTCAGATGAGATTATAAACGAAAACCCAGGTGAAATTCTGACATGGGTTGTCGGCTACATCAAAACCTGTACTTAAACGGTTCCGATACATTGCTGTGCAATTCTACCTCTATACGTTGTGGCAAAACTATAATCACGAATACGAGGATCACAGGAGAGAGTGTGTGTGTGAAAGAGAGTGGGGGGAAGGGGAGCGAGAGTGAGACCGAGAGGGCGCTGAGAGGGTGAAGGGAGAGGATGAGGGGAGGGAGAAAGGGAGCAAGAGCGAGTGAGTGAGAGAGAGAGAGAGAGAGAGAGGGAGATAGAGAGGGAGAGAGAGAGGGAGCGAGCGTGGAAAGAAAAGGGAAAGCGAGAGCAGACCCGAGGGGGAGGGAGAGCGAGAGCGAGAGGCAGAAGGAGAGCGAGTGGGAAAGAGAGAGGGCTTGAGCTCTAACGTTCACCGGAACGTGGTGATGTTTTTTGCTCCCAGCAGTAAAAAATACGTGCAACCAGTAACCCTCGCACGTGTGTGTGACCGCGGTGGCCCATGACCGATATATGACCACTATCCGGTAATTCCGTGTCACAATACAGATCCGGTGTATTTTATGACCCGTGAACGCACGCTATACCCTATACCACCATAAGACGATTACGCTGCACGATCTTTTCCCCCAGACTGGAATGCATTGTCCTATACGATTATTGTCCAGAATTGCTCGTGAATGACTCAGACCATACAGAGCTGGTATTGGGGAGAAGCGGTGATCGGTTGTGATTGGGGTGACATTTGTCTAGGGAAACGCTAGTATAGTGGATCACATATCAAGCTGATGCGATAATAGGCTGTCTGCCTTCTAATGTGAACTGACTACAGCTGTCAACGAATACTCTTGAGAAAAGGGGCTAGTAATCACGGGTACGTAAACTGTCAGTATAGATTATGTGCTTTTGATTAAAAAAAGGCTCGTAGAACAATGGTGACACGCATGCGTCAGGTTGAGAGTCGGAACGGGTTATTGAAGAAGCGGTGCGAGGCCTCGTGTGAAGCGTTGAACCGATAAAAATTATAGAATCGATGCAACAGGCTCCGACCACCAAAACACGTTAAAAAATAACAAGTCTCGACTATCACTCCAAAGATGCTTATCTACTGAATTAGTTAACCCGAAGTTAGCAATAAACAACTGCCACCAGTATAGGATATGAGGCCCGAAGGACGCCATGCCGTATTTATCCTTCATCCCACCTACCGGGGAGGTCATTCGCTTCTAAAGATCTTCATGGCCCCCAGCTGGGTGGTGATCATGAGTGCTTACGATCTATAACTATAACAGCTATATACGCTGCTCGTTCTTGCGCAGTAAATATCCTTCAGGCTTTCACGGTCCTGGTTGTTTAGCTTAATTAGATTGGACCGTATATAGAACAGATGGTAAGAGGCGTTTCGTACTTCCTGTAATAAAACCAACGGACAATTACTGGCGCGAGCGCAAGAGCAGGCAATAGCGGTAGTGAACACATGAGATTTGTAAGCCAATGTACCACAATAGAAATTTGATTAGCATAGTACTCATTTATTTATTTATTTATATATTTATTTATTTGTTTATTTAGTTATTTATTCAACATAAGCCGGAATTATATCTACTGAGCCATATATTTAGGTCGAAGTGAAATACCTCAATTTATCGTGCGTCTTTTTTTTCTCTGTCTCTCTCTCTCTCGCTCTCTCTCTCTCTCTCTCTCTCTCTCTCTCTCTCTCTCTCTCTCTCTCTCTCTCTCTCTCTCTCTCTCTCTCTCTCTCTCTCTCTCTCTCTCGCTCTCACTTTCTCGTATTATCTTCCCTAATGGATGCGGTACTCCGCTATAATAGTCATGTTTTTACTCGAGTCAGGTATGGATGAAACCATAGTCAGTGCACTTCGCAAACAGGTTTAGCGCACGTTCCTCACTCACAGGGCGGTAATACGCACCCTCTGCTATCATAACAGTTTTGCTGAAACGAGAATGATTCTCTCGGAAAAGGCGAGAGAGGCCTTGCCATCGGCTGAACGGTTTCTGAAATGGCGTTAGATCGACCCGCTGCGGGGAGAGCTCTGATCCCATTGTCGCTGTTTACGGTAGAGGCGAACCGCAAGCCGAAAAACAAGCATGTGTCGACTCTATTAGTTCGACATACACAGTCCGCGGGCGACGAATCATCCACGGGCAAGTTTAACCTAGCGGCGACTTTAGGTGCTAGGGGGACGGAGGGTCATGAATTCAAGAATGATAATCACCCCTGGGCATGCGTCTCGTCTTTCTCTCTCTCTCCCTGCCTCTGTGTGTGTATGTGTGTGTGTGTGTGTGTGTGTGTGTGTGTGTGTGCGTGTTTGTGTGCGCGAGCGTGCGTGTGCGTGCGAGCGTGTGTGCGCATGCGTGTGAGTACGTAGGCGAGGACGTAACTCTGTAAAACAACCGTTGGGATTTGTTACGAAACTCAATTAAGTAAGAATCACTTTTAAAGAAGCGCATCTAATAAGAGAGATATATTTTACGCAATTAAACGCAGCCTATACGATGCATTGTAATTAGCTCCAATCATGTTCGTGCCAGTGCGCTTTATTCGCGACTCTCATTTCTAGGATTTAGGAATTATATGTATCACGGCACATCTACTGGATGATATTTCACAGCCTGTGTTTAGCACAGGTACTATCACGTGCCATTCAACGTCTAGGTAAAAACCATTTAGGTAATTATCTGACGGAGATGCACTCTCTGTGCAAAATAATACCTATTCTAAGCATACACAATTCTTATCAATCACCACTGTGAGTGGTCAAGAAAAGACGTGTTTTATTGCTCTCATGCCGTGAGTGCTTCTACACCGACCTGCTTACAATCACAGGTCTTATGTATCTTATATCTCTTTTGTATCTATGCACAGTGACATGCGTGTGGTGAGGTCCCTTGTTGGAGAAGAGGATTTGATCTGCGTCCAAGTGAAAATATTAGAGTGTACATAAACCAATCAATTTGTATTTATTTACTATGCATATGTTTTTATCATTGGAGTGCGTCTTAGTGCCTATGCATGCATATAAACGTGATGCCAGAAAAGGTGGTCTTTATACAGTTACTTAGGCGTGCATATGCTGTAAAGGTGGGATAAAGCCGCAGAAATACACGCTAACACCACATATGTCTGCGTCTAGGGAAATTTTCGTCAAGCTTTGATTTACTTTTCCAATAGTTCGAAACAGCTAGATAGTCGAAACAGCTAGCATAGTTCGCGTATATTTTCGTTAGGTACTATTTAGCGTTTGCGATGGGAAAACGATCAAACGAGCCGCGATTGAGGGCCGAAAAAGCTTTTGCGCTTTGGCGGTCGCGTGTGATGTATACACGCAAATCCGCTGGAGCGCATTTATCCGGTGTGATTGGATGATGGATTTCGACTTTAATTAAACAATTTTAATTAAAGGTAGCAACAAGGATGCGGAATGAAACATTTTGGGGCTAAGTAAGAGGTAGCTAAAAAGCACCCAATTAAACGGGGAAGCATACAAAACTAGCAAAAATTGTGAGCGGCTGCGGGTGCACGTATTTTTTTGGCTTTCTAATAAAAAAGCTGGAAATTAATTTTCACTAGTTTTTATCCGTGTTTTCAAATTTACCCAGATGTCAATGCTCTCTTGAGCTATATATATAAAGAATATATAGAAATAGAGGTATATATTCATATCCTCCCTATTTCTCTCGCTCTCTCCATACCTCTCCCAATCTTTCTCTCTCTTCTCTCTCATCTCTCTCTCTCTATCTCTCTCTCTCTGCTCTCGCGTCTCTCTGTGTCCTCTCTGCTCTCTCTCTCTCTCTCTCTCTCTACTCTCTCTGCTCCTCTATTTGCACGTCACGCTTTCCCTTCCCTTCTTTTCTTGCTGCTTCGCTTTCGTCCTATTTCCTCCGCGCGCTCTTGTTTTCTCGTCATTTCTCTCGCTTTTTTTTCTTTTTTTCTTTCTTTCTTTCTTTCTAAAGGTGGTCTTTATACAGTTACTTAGGCGTGCATATGGCTGTAAAGGTGGGATGAAGCCGCAGAAAATACACGCTAACACCACATATGTCTGCGTCTGGGAAAATTTTCGTCAAGCTTTGTTTACTTTTCAAATAGTTCGATAGCAGCTTAGATAGTCGAAACAGCTAGCATAGTTTGCGTATATTTTTGTCAGGTACTATTTAGCGTTTGCGATTGGTAAAACGATCAAACGAGCCGCGATTGAGGGTCGAAAAAGCTTTTGCGCTTTGGCGGTCGCGTGTGATGTATACACGCAAATCCGCTGGAGCGCATTTTATGCCGTGTGATTGGATGATGGATTTCGACTTTAATTAAACAATTTTAATTAAAGGTAGCAACAAGGATGCGGAATGAAACATTTGGGGCCTAAGTAAGAGGTAGCTAAAAGCACCCAATTAAACGGGAAGCATACAAAACTAGCAATTTGTGAGCGGTGCTATTTTTTGGCTTTCTAA